GAGATGCTAATATATCCCTGATGTTTGATATCTTAAACCAGCTTAAGCTGATTGTCAGGTCTTAGCTTCTCTTCCAGCTGGGTCTGGCGGGTCTGTTGGCTGGTTTTAGATGGATTTTGCACAATTTTCAGTTGGTCAAGCTGGTAGATCAGCTATTACTAGGTTGAATAGGCTGACAGACCATATTTAAATAAAATATATAAAAAACACGCCAATAATTCATCTTAGGCTGGTTTAAGGCTGTTAGGGATGATGGGTGGTGTAACAAATGTCAGTTGAAACCTGATCCATGTTGCCCCATGATATGATATCATATGACATGATAAATCACAACTTTTCCCATTCCTTTTTTTTCATAAAAACGGGTTTAAACTTTTCAAAACCCTAAGGCCTTGTTTGGTTTCACACACCGGGCTTAGATTAAGCCAGTATGCAGTGTATCCAGTAGGTTCAGTACATTTTGCCAATAAAATGTCAAATATATATAGCCTAGTTAGTAGTTATGCTATTCCCAACATAGCCTTAGAGACTAAAATACTGAATTTCACATGACTCCACGTCATGAATGTGTCAGCTGGAGTTCAAAGAAGAACTTCAGTACTAGTATGCATGGGTAGTTTCCACACCAAGGTGTCCAACATTGTTTTCCCTTCCTCTAAGGCTATGTCTACACAAATTCTGGCCTTACGTTCACACCGAGATGGTGTTTTTGGATACATTTGAAAACTTGTAGTGTAGACTGTGAAAACCAAAGTACTTGAAAAAGATGCCACATGATGTTTAGTCATAAAAACACGCCAATAAATCATCTTAGGCTGGTTTAAGGATGTTAGGGATGATGGGTGGTGTAACAAATGTCATAGTTGAAACCTGATGATCCATGTTGCCCCAGAATAACATGATAAATCACAACTTTTCCCATTCCTTTTTTTCCTTCATAAAAAGGGGTTTAAACTTTTCAAAACCCTAAGGCCTGGTTTCACAGACAGGGCTTAGATTAAGCCAGGATTAGGTCTTAGTGCAGTTAGGAAATATAGCTTCTATAAACGTGCCTTAGAAGAAAAAAAACATAACTAATGTGCATCTTGAGACAAAACAATGGCACTGACATATTTTAAGATATGTTAGTACAAGTTGCTTTCAGTTGAAACAGCTTAAACATGCATTTTAGTCTGGGAATAGCTTAAGCCTTGTCTGTGTCTTGTCTTTTACCAGGGGTAAAAGTTTGTATATTTTAAATGAGGGGCTGGACAGTATGCAGTGTATACAGTAGGTTACATGACACCGTTTTCAACTAAACACAGAACACCTTTTATGAGTTTTGAACGTTCATTTACTCAACAACAGTGTTTTGGGGGCCTCAAAACGCAAGCTTTTGAAAAAAAATTCAGTTTTTGAAAACAATGGCATTATGCGCATGTGTTTTACCTGTTCAGTCTATAGGCAAGTAGTGTTTCTTTACAAAGTGAAATTGGCAACCACTGGGCTTTAGTCGTTTTCACGGATCCGTGTGAACAAGAGAGCGTTTTGCCAACGTTGCCGCCTGTATGCGAAAAACATGAAGGAAAAACGTTTCCGTTTTTTGGTGCATCATTGTGGTGTAAGACTTTGAATAACAGATCTCCAGTGCGACCCTACTGAACTCCACAGAATGTTGTAGTTCACACACGGCCGTCATTGGGATTTGTGTGTGGAATGTGAAGGATTCTGTATACTGAGTTGAAAATCTCCAACATTGATAGCGGTAATTTCTTTAATGAGCAGCAAACAAAGTAGAACAAACTCCTCTCTCGCAGTTGTTTACATGCCAGTGATTATCTCATGCCAACCCCTGTTCTAGATTATTCATCACAATGGAAATTAACGGTCAGGTGTATTGCATTGCATTGTTGGGGGATACAGTATGCAGTGTGTATAGGTTCAGAACATTTTGCCAATAAAATGTCAAATATATATAGTTATGCTATTCCCAACATAGCCTTAGAGACTAAAATACTGAATTTCACATGACTCCACGTCATGAATGTGTCAGCTGGAGTTCAAAGAAGAACTTCAGTACTAGTATGCATGGGTAGTTTCCACACCAAGGTGTCCAACATTGTTTTTCCTTCCTCTAAGGCTATGTCTACACTCATTTTGGCTTCTCAGTTCACACTGAGATGGTGTTTTTGGATACATTTGAAAACTTGTTGTGTAGACTGAGAAAACCAAGGTACTTGAAAAGAATGCCACATGATGTTTAGTCATGTGACACGCATTGTGCCCATAGATATCTTAAACCGGCATGTGTTTGCTATGTGCTTTTCACTCTTCAGTGTTAAACATAAATGATGTATCAATCTTCATATTACATTACTCCAAAGATGGCAGAAAATGTCCTCGCAATTACAGTCCTGTGGCAAAACATGAGGGCAGTCGCGGTTTAGACTGTATGGGATTGGCGACTGAGTGCAACTTGGACTTTCCAGTAATTCGTGGGATATTCTGCTAATGAAATTTACATTTACATTTAGCTGACGCTTTTATCCAAAGCAACTTACAATTGCTATATATGTCAGGGGTCGCACGCCTCTGGAGCAACTAGGGGTTAAGTGTCTTGCTCAGGGACACATTGGTGTCTCGCAGTGGATTCAAACCCGGGTCTCTCACACCAAAGGCATGTGTCTTATCCACTGCGCCATCACCACCCTAATGATCATGTAAGAATAACAGCAAGCATCTCTGTGAGCTTTTATTATGTTTTACGCATGTGCAGTAAAATATTTTTTTGAGTTTTGATGAGAAACTTTTGGGAAACTCTTGAAAACACTAGTATGAACTGTTTTCAAATGTATTCAGATGAATGTAGACGTAGCCTAAGAAGCATTCACCCAGGAATCATGTCCTCAGGAGGGAGTTCTTGTGGATATGACTTCTTAAAACGGCATCCATCTCCCAAACCACGGTCATTGCATTGCAAAGTAGTATGGGAACTTATGACAAACAACTAAAGTGTCAATTGACCTCTTATGGGGGAAAAAATGATGCGAAACTATCAAGCCAGTCATTAGCAGATCAAGATGCATGTTTGTGTAGGCTTAGCATGTGTGCATGCATTTGTTTCACATCACCATGTCCATGAGTCAGTGTTTTCGTCTTTGTAATATCATTTACGGTTTCCTGTAAAAGCCCATTGAGGAATAGCTTACTGAAACTCCAAATCTGGCTGTGAAGATGCAACATTTATTTAACTTAGACACTAACAGCCAAGATGATTGAGTGTGGCGTTCCGGTTGAACTTTAAAGCATGTTGCAAAGGGCTCCAATTGCTTTCTTGTGTCTTACTTGCTCTGGTGTGTGTGTCTGTGTGTGTGTGCAAAACCTTCAATACAATCATCTGTGCTTTTAGACGAGGGCTTTTAGCAGATGTAAAGTGTGTTAAAATATGTTGGCCTTAGAAAGAAATCTTTTTTTTCTCTTGTCTGTTCAAATTCTACTGATATACTTCGATAGGGAAACACTTTACAATAAGGTTCATTCGTTAACATTACTTAATGTATTATGAACTAACCATGAGCAATACATTTGTTACTGTATTTGTTAATCTTTGTTAATGTTAGTTAATAAAAATACAGCTGTTCATTGTTTGTTCATGTTAGTCCACAGTGCATTAACTAATGTTAACAAGATTTGAATATAGTTTTAGTAAATGTGGAAATTAACATTAACAAAGATTAATAAATGCTGTATACGTGCAGTTCATTATTAGTTCATGTTAACTAATTTAGTTAACTAATGTTAACTAACGAACCTTATTGTAAAGTGTGACCATATTTTGTTTTTTATATTGACTCCTTGAGTGAAAAATGGCATAAAATGTGTTCATTTAATGTAAGTTTCGTGTGTTTCATTTGCAACAATATCCATAGGAATGAAAAATACAAACCAGTATCACCATTGAGATTTCCTCCTGAGAAAAATACAATAGTCTCGCATTGTTTCTTTTAAAGTTGACACTTAAATGTAACGATTGAGAACTCCATTAAGTCTCCAAAGAGCAAACTTTGAGCAATACAGTTTTCCTATGGGTACAAATGTGTCTCCAGAAGTTACGTATATAAATTTGCCAAACCTCCATGGACATCTTCAGTTGATAAAGCAATTCATAAAACAAACAAAATGTGTTATTCTAGAAATGCACAAAGGGTCAGGTTTTGGATTATTCAGTAGCATTTAATATAAAACATTAATGAAATATATATTTTTATATGTATATGAAAGGTAGAGGTATGCCCTCATTAAGTCAATGTGTGTGAGAGAGATTCTCTAGCTGTCTTGTTTAGTCTGCTCTTGTAGAGAAAGCTGGGTGGGAGTTTTTGCTTTAGGCCAGTGCGTCTGCAGTCTTCATGGCTGTCAGTGCCGGCAGTGAGATATCAATAGACAGCATGAATAAGGTTACATTTAACTAAGAGTTTCTGTTCTCTGCAGGGTAATGCTTATAACACTGAGACTAATGCAGCAAAGTGCAACCTTTGTGTGTAGATTAGCCACCTCTTCAATTGTGAACAGTGGGAGTTGTGTTTGTGTGTGTGCAAATGTGTGTTTGTATAAATTCCTGTCCAATATGTCCAAGACGGGGGTGAGGAAACAAGGGATACCTCCCAACCCAACATTCATCTCCATTTCACACTCTCTTGCCTTCAGACTCAAGGCCTTTAAATTTTGTTCTGTAGATTCTGTTGGAACAAATATAAAGAAAGTAAATATAGGGTCAGTTTGGATTTCATGTTGCATCTTTCTCAAAAGTGGCTGTGTGAAAAATCTCAACATATAAATCACACATTTCTTCCTGTTCTACCAGTGCCTGGTTGTTGCGAAAAGGAGTATTTTAACTTTCCCTGTCTGCTGCTGTTCACATCACATCTGATCTTCTTTTTTTCATGTTTGCTGTAAATTGACCTTAATTGCTAACCATGGTAATATTTCAACACATTTATACATACTTTGTCTCTCCCTTCCAGATGTCTAACTACAAGCGTGCGACGTTTGAGGAGGAGGACGGGACAGACATCCCTGCTGATGGAGCCATCTCTCCTGACAGTGTGGAGGTGAGTTTGGGTCAGGGCTCAGTGTGGATGAGCATTTTATGTTTTTTCTTTCAGACTTTTTTTATCCGATGCCACATACAAATAAATAAAGCAACCATTTAAGCTGTTAGTTTTTACAGAAAATATGAGAAGTATTACTGTTGCACAATTCCCATGAAAAGTAGAAGATCAGAAATGACGCTAAAACACGGCAAAAGAGAGAATAGTGAATCGCTGGGTAGTTGTGATGTTCTCTGTGAAGTTCCAACGCAGTCTCATCCTTTGGCGTCATATAGGTGACGCCATATGACATTTCGTCGAAATCTTACGCACATGGCATCCTTTAGCGTCAATATAACACGCACTGTTATGGGTAGGTTTAGGTCTGGGGTAGGGTACGGTTATGACGCCTTGAGATCTGCGTCTCATATTCATGCTAAACGATGCCATGTGCGTCGGATTTAGACGAGCGTCACCTGTATGACGCCTTGGGTTCTGAGTCTCATATTGATGCTAAAGGATAGCCTGGTTAAAACCAGACCATTCTCAGTTGTAACTGAGTTATGGTCTGGCAAAGCGTCATAGACAAATCATTTCCAGAGGGGCTTCACCAACGGACGTCGCGGATAGACCAAGCGGCAACACTCTAATCTGAAAAATGAAGCCTACCCGGAAGTGCGAAAAACTGCAATACATCGAAAATCCGCTAGAGGGAGGTCCCAAAAGGGAGCAAATCTCCATAGACCCGCATGTTAAAATGTCAGTTTTGACAGCATAAATTCATGTTTTTACAAGTTGGTCCCATGGACTTTTATTGTATTTTTCGATAGGTTCCGAGTGCCTGACAACTGTGAGGGGGGTGAATTTTTTTCTAACTCGGTAGTTTAGATCGTATTTAGATATAAAATGTATGACAAATTAGCGCGTGATTGACAGCTGATAACGGGCTGCGCCGAGTGGAATTCCTGAAATTTGACGTCTCGGCCATGATCTGACACAACACATCATACCACCTCTGTATCCTTTCTGAACATTTGTATTTGAAATATCGTAAGATTTTCCAAGATGGCACCGCCCATACCCCCCATAACAGCCTCAAAACCGTTCTTCAGGAAGTCTATGGGTGACGTCACAGACGCTTTGTCCATATTTTTTACAGTCTATGGGATAGACCTAAACCCAATCAGATCGATGAAGGAGATGACGTATGCAGAGCAGCAGAAACATCTCCGAGTGTTGTTCTTTGCTCGGTTTTTAACAAAAGGGAAACGTTCAAATCGCTTAAAACAGACGCGATAGCTGATTCAAACGAGTGATGTTCGACGGCGGCATCCATCTTTGTAATGTAGGCTACAAAATCTGCTTCAAAATCCCAGCGCTGTCCTCATCGTGTAAAGCCCGCCCCAACGTTTCTGATTGGTGCCGCGATTTCGGAGTTTGAATGAGCTCTTTGCCAGACTAACTTTCAGAGCAAATCTAAATTTGCCGGAAGTTGTCTGGGTTTTCCCAGGCTAGCTAAAGGATGCCATGTGCGTAAGATTTCAACGAAATGTACAAAGCGTCACATGTATGACGCCAAAGGATGAGAACGGGCTGGAAGTTCAGCTGTTTCCTGGCTGACTTGGGATGCTTTTACCGCTGAAAAATCATGCTGACAGTCATGTTGTGGTGAATTGCTGGGCTAGCAGGAAAGAAACACTGTAATGAGTTGGTGGTGAAGTTATTTTTTCTATGCTGAGTTATCGAGGCAAGCCGAAATACACACAGACACTGTAGGAACACCAGATACATAAAACATAGGAAAATACACTCCTTACTAACCGTTACAAAACAAACTGTTTTGGGTTCCCCAAATAAACTTTTAGTAACCGTTCTTTTAAGAACTTTTTTGTTTCTTAATTTGTTAACATATTAAGAATTTATAGTTGATTTGTTAACTATAAATATCGTTTGTGCTTTGGAAAGGTTCTATGGATGTTAAATGTTCTTCACTGAACCATCAATGCCAATAAATAACTTTTATTTTTTACTGTAAGTGTGTAGATCTCATGTATTGTGAATATTTTGAGAACAGGAAGGGGCCAAGCACCGAACCTTGAGGTACTTCAGTGGTTAGCTGATATTGCTTAGATACTGCTTCCCTAAAAGTCACCATGCAGAATCTACCCATGCACAGTGTGTAAAGGGAATATTATTTACTGTGTTCAGCATGTCCTGAGGATCAACAGTATTTCAGTATGTTAAGATTAGCCAATTATATTGAAGTCATTAATATAAGAAGTCATAAACATACAGTAGAAAAACAGTTTAGTAGTCTGGACAATACAGTACATGGCTTGGTGATTATTACATTATGACTCATGGCTAAATGGGCAAACATCTTGTGGATAAGGATATTCTTCTTTTTTGTATTTTTATAGAAAGGCAAAATAAATCTGAACAATTATCCAGGTATGAGTAATGGTCTCAAAACCCATAAAACCTTTTAAAATGATCAAATGGTGGACTAATATGTAATTGGAAAGAGATCATGGATAACAGTTTCATAAAAATAAGCATTATTTCTCATGCAGACATTTGCATTAGCGATAACTTTTAAGTGATGAAAACAGCAGGTCAGATATCCAGGGAATTTACTTCAAAGGATTATGAGTGACATTTGATATGAATTCAAAGCGATTTATGTGGCCCCTTTCATTTGCTGCTCACTTTTATGTCAAGCAGGAAATGTGATACCTCTTCTAATGGCTTTCTGTTCAAGCCATGATATGAAGCATGCGTTTGATATGGTATCCCCCAGGCAACTTGTTTTATGTTCTTTGGGTGCTGAATGATGAATGATGAAGAGATGTGCAGTATTTCTTGAAAAAATAATTTAAAAAAAATATCCGTACGTGATGTTCCTAGAGTTTCTACAGAAAAAGGAGACTTCTTCTTTGGGAATATTTGTATGAGAATATTTTTTATTGTAAGGGAAAGAAAGGAAGAATGAGATTAGTATTAGTCAGTGGCCATTTCAGGAGAACTGCAATGACACAATTTGTCTTTTTTTTACATTGAACATTTTATTCTCACAGAAATGTACTGTGGTGTTGAAGTGATGGTTTCAGCTGGTAATGGTGCCTTCACTATCATGGCACTTAATGACTACCATGTTCGGTATTTACATAACATAAAATGCCAAAGAGAATTGCACTAACGTGGTACATATCCAAAAAGCATGGTATTACGGAAACTCTATCAAATAAATGCATAAGATTATCCAACATTTTTGGAGAGTTTGGTATGTTAACCAGCAAATAGTAACAATTTAAAAAAATCGAACTTAAAAAGACTCTTATGATCAATATTTGACCCTCTTTTAGGTGGGTTTCCGTAAGGGTGGTGTTCAGTTGTTTGGTCCACTGGGCAGGAGGACTCAGCTGGAGGTGGTTTTGGCCGGTCTGCTTCTCACTTCACTTCTAGCACTATTTGGCTGTGCGATCACACTGGGAGTCCGCTATAACGGAGGTAACACACACACACACACACACACACATGCACGCACGCACAGTAAAATGTGTGTAATGTACAATAACTTACTGATAAATATGGTGCCATGTAACACTGATTTATATAAAGCAGGCATGCTTTTATGACATCAGTTTAGTATATATATTTAGTAAATCATTTCCCAGATTTACGTGATCAATTTGACTACACTCTTTTGGGTCAATTTTGGGTCAAATATGGACAAACCCAAACGTTGGATTAAAAATGCAATTTAAAAATGTAACCCAACGGCTGGGTTTGTCCATATTTGACCCAAAATTGGGTTAAACCAACCCAGCATTTTTTAGAGTGTAGGAACATCCCCTTATAGATACTTAAAGGGGTAGTTCACCCAAAAATCTTTCATTATTACTTACTCACATTTGTTTCAAACTTGTTTGGATATATTTCTTTTAGAAACATACTGTACACTCTAACAAATGCTGGGTTGTTTTAACCCAATTTTAGGGCAAATATGGACAAACCCGAACGTTGGGTTAAAATTTTAATTAAAAAATTAACCCAACGGCTGGGTTTGTCCACATTTGACCCAAAGTTGGGTTGAAACAACCCAGCATTTTTTTAGAGTGTAATTTAATAATTTAATGAATATCTGTTTTGGTGAATTCCAAAAATGTCATCATCAAAAAATTATTTCCTATGACTAAAGTCCTGTTCAAATCAAGATGAATGTTCGGTGTGAACATTTGGTGCCATAAACATTTCAAGTAATGAAACACTGTTAATGCGTCTGTCAAGACATGATAATCTAACTAGGGCTGTGTTCAAAATCGCCCTTCACTATTGACTACATTACTCCACTAATACAGTGCACTTGAAGGAGTGAATGAAAGCGAGTGAGTGAATTCGGACACTGAGTGAGCCGGAAGGGCTGCCGCTTTTGCATAGTGTGTGCTTGCTGTTTAATAATCATTTGAAACTTAGCAAACTGGTTGTTTCAGTAGTTATGAAAGGATTTATGTCATGTCATGGAAACTAGCATGTATAAACCTTAATAAAACAATTTAATAATCAATAAAAATATTACTCTGGACCAGCGGTTTGGAAAATGGATAGATGGATGATTCAGCTACGGTCGCCGACACTCACAGTGCATTATGGGTATTCTCTAGCCATTGTGCGTACATCGGTTGTACACTCGTTATTGTGGTGCATTGTGGGATTGAATGAGTGCACTGGATAATGTCCAATATGGTTTCGGACACCACTATAAATGGCTTTCCCCTCAGATAGGGAATAGGGGGCGATTTCAGACACAGCCTTTGACTTCATTGCAACTTGGGCAAATGGTATGGGAAAAACATACCTTTTGTGACAAACATTTGTGTTGGGATGAACAGGTCTTAATATTATTACTATAATAAAATAATTAAAATATTATCATTCACAATCCAATGAAATCCCAATGGTTAAAATCAATGCCCTTCTTGTATAACTTTTAACATTCAGTTTTATGTCACATTATGGGAGTTTAAAGGGATAGTTCACTTTGAAATAAATGTTTGGTATGTTTTAGCTTACCTCAAGGGCATCCAAGATGTAGGTGTCTTTGTTTCCGCGGTAGTTTCAATTTGGATATTTTTAGGTCAAACCGTTCTTGTCTGTCAGTCATATAATGCAGGTCTATGGTCACCACCTCAAAGAGCATGCACAGAGAAGTCCAAATTAAACATGATTTAATGACTCGTAAATGTAAGTACACATTGATGGCCTAAGACACGAAACGAGCGGTTTGTGTGAGAAAACGAACAGTATTTATATCGTTTTTACCTCTTGTAAACACAGCCAGGTCCAAGTGATCTGAGGGCGCCGGCGCTTCGGTCTTTTCCGGCAAGTACCGGAAAGCGCCGGAAGTGATCTCTCGCGCATCTACGTCACTCATACAATTTTTTTTTTTTTAATTGTTTTCTTTTACGACGGTTTAAACATCCCGGATAAGCGCAAATTAGTACCATTTTAATTAGCCAGTTCTGTGTAAACAATGAGTGACGTACACGCGCAAGAGATCACTTCCGGCGCTTTCCGGAAAAGACCGAAGCGCCGGCGCCGTCAGATCACTTGGACGTGGCTGTGTTTACAAGAGGTAAAAACGATATAAATACTGTTTGTTTTCTCACACAAACCACTCGTTTGTGCCTTAGGCCATCAATGTGTACTTACATTTACGAGTCATTAAATCATGTTTAATTTGGACTTCTCTGTGCATGCTCTTTGAGGTGGTGACCATAGACCTGCATTATATGACTGACAGACAAGAACGGTTTGGCCTAAAAATATCCAAATTGAAACTACTGCGGAAACAAAGACACCTACATCTTGGATGCCCTTGAGGTAAGCTAAAACATACCAAAAATTAATTTCAAAGTGACCTATCCCTTTAAACTATTTCTTGTTGTTTCTAACCCCCAGATCCAGCCCGTAGTATCTGTCTAACGGAGGCGTGTGTAACCGTGGCCAGTAAGATCGTGGAAGCTCTGGACCGCTCCGTCGACCCATGTCAGGATTTTTACCAGTACGCCTGTGGAGGATGGGTCCGCAAAAACCCCCTGCCAGATGGCCGCTCCCGCTGGAGCACATTTAACAGCATCTGGGACCAGAACCAGGCTGTGCTCAAACACCTGCTGGGTAAGTGCCGGAAAACACACACACACGCACGCGCTTGTCCTTTTTGTAGGATGGGATTTGCTCAGTACATCTTTCTCAGTGTTCACAAAATGGAATATATTTAGAAAGACATCTCAATGATTTACTTGATTTTCCGATAGAAAACAGCTGCATTCATGCGTTTTGAAGAGTTTTACACCTCAGTTCTCTGTACTTGGGTTGTTTTTTTTATTGTAGAAACTTTCATCGATTCCTGCTCTGTGACCTGATTTCTTGTTTTCTCTGAGTGCAGCCATCCCTGTCTGATTGTTCGATTAGGGACAATGACTTTCTGCACTCATTCTCTGTTTCTGTAACTTTAAATCCCTCCATTATTCATCCTCACGTGGATTTACAGTATTGCTTGCAAGGCCTTTCACTGGTTATACTTTTTTCAAGAAATTTACAGTTAAAGATTTAAAAACATCTATTCAAACTGGCAGTGATGATGCCATTGACTTGTACTTGTAGACTAGGTAAAATGCAATGCATGTGTTCTGAATGTTTCCCAGGGTGTTGCTAGGTGGTTGCTAGAATGTTCTGAGGGGTTGCTGGGATGTTGCTAGGTGGTTGCCACGGTATTACTCTGTGGTTGTTAGGCTGTTCTGTAATTGTTGTAATTGGTCATTTGCTTGGGTGATTTCCAGAGTACTGCAGTACACAGCTCTCGTTGATTAGCAGGGTGTTGCTAAGGGGTTGCTATGCTGTTCCTGATAGTTGCCAGGGCATTGCTAAAAGGTTGTTAGGGTAGGTTGCTGGGTCATTTGCTATGGTGTTTGGAGGGCGGTTGCCAAGGTGTTGCTAGGTGGTTGCTTCAGTTTATGATGATTGCCAGGGCATTTCTAAATGGTTGCTGGAATATTCTCAGTAGTTGTCTGGTACTGCAAGTGATTTGCTAGCTTGTTTTGGGCGGTAGCTATGGTGTTTCAAGATGGTTGCTAGGCTATTGTCAGGTGGTTTGCTCTGGTGTTCTTGGTGGTTGCTAGGTGGTTATTTAAAATATCAAAAGAGTCTACCCACTGATGTCCTTCCTTTGATGGAAGTCTGAGGGAACTCTTTCACCCGTTTATTGTCATCATGTAAAAGAAAAGAAAAAACATAGGTCTGATCTCTTAAGGTTGGCCCACACTAATAGATTAAAAAGTCTTATCAGTCTTATCAGATTTTCTAAATGTGAGAGACCACAAACATGACGATAAAAATAATGAAACATGAAAATAATAGATTTAAAGGAGCTGTATGTAAGAAATGTATTTCAATTAATCATAAAATGGCCCTGAAATGTCACTAGACATTAAGAAATCATGTACATTTCAAATACTTATTTCACTGACAACAGTAGTCCGGCCAGGATATTGTCATTTAAAAAGTGAAGTTGCAGCCCTCAACTGATGTTGATGTTGTCATGTTGTGTTTTGGTCTGATGCTCCACCCTCCACCTATCTACCAATCACGAAGTCAGTAGTGTTGCAGCATCCGGGTTGCCAGCTCTGCTCTAGTTACCACAGCTGCAGCTCGTCACGTTCCTGCTGGATCCTGCAGCTGATCTGGCAACCTCGAGTCAGGGAGGAGGGGGAGGGGATACACCACTCTACAGTAATTTGACAGTGATTGCAGTACTAGTTTTGGCCACAATCTTACATACAGCTCCTTTAACAGTTTTGTTCCTATAGTGTGTAGAGTGCCGCGATGTGACCAGGAAAGCACAACACACACTAACAGATTCCATTCACAACACAAAATCTCTTGCAGTAAAGAAATGGTGATAATAATGTTTGGACTGTCTGCCTTTTACAGAAAGATTGCAGAAAAAAAGAAAAAAGTTTTAAATAAAGTTGTGTTATGCTTTTATCTTAAGTCAGCTCGCTTTCTGATTTGCTATTGTTTCATTCCACGTGATAATCTACAGAGTGTGCGCGCATTTGTCCTCGGGTTCCCTCCACACAACAGGATTTCTGATCATGTTGAATATTTATGATTTGAGATTGGAGCGGCCCCGACATTCTTCCAAGCAGATTCAATCACCCTTAACACACCTCACACCACAGTTAAATCTGATAGAACCATCAAGATAATTGGCACTTCACCCTGGATTGTCGGAAGGGGAGAATTGGGCCCAAAATCGGCCCGATTATCTTGTAGTGAGTTGGGGCCTTTAGAAAAGTACGAACATCTCTCCTCAAGCCATGTGACTTTACATAACCTAAGCATTTGTTACATACTGTATTGTACAAACCTAATTCTAACTCTAAGTATGATAAATAGTAGTATTGATGTTTTTCTTAGCAAACAACACTAATTAGGAAAATCAACCATATTTTGGATGTCTCATCAATCTCTCTTTCCCTCTAATTCCCACTATGTATATCTGAATGCAACTTTTCATTTTTCAGCAAACTGTTTATTGAACTCTCGGGTTTACTTATTTGCTGCCTTGCGAGCTCTAGAGTTCTGCACAGGAATGCTAATGTAATTTCTTTTGTGTTTAAACGCATTGCTCCATCCCTCTCTCTAATTGTTGGTCTATCAGACTATTTAATAACCAGTTGTAATGCACTGGCTGTGATCAAGCTCTCTCTCTCTGTCTAATGAATGCGCTCTCACACTGGGGTCCCTGTAGCCGTTTTGCTCTGATGACACTCCATCACATTGACACTGCATGTTGCATCACACCCACAGGCACCCTCTCACCCTTCTGCACATTTAATAACACTCGCCTTACATGAACATATTTTTGATCTCAAATTACTCTTAGATATGTTATACGTCTTTTGTGGTTCTTTGTGGTGTGTGCAATTGGGCCAGTGAACACCTCTGCATGCTGAAGTGAACACAACGCTCCAGTGAACAGTAAATGAAGAGTATTCCCTAATGACCTGCGTCAGAGAACTGGTGCAGCCCCCTGCAGAGAGAGAGAGAGAGAGAGAGAGAGAGAGAGAGAGAGAGAGAGAGAGAGAGAGAGAGAGAGAGAGAGAGAGAGAGAGAGAGAGAGAGGGAATAGGAAAACAGAAAGGAAGAAAAGGCTGAGAAGAAGGAGTGGTGGGATAAACTCACACTGGATCTTAATATGGCCCCACTATGAGTATGGGTAACAGTACATGACATCACACTCCAGGGCTTCTGTATTGCAAAAATGATAAATGATCCTGTCAGGATGTTGCTAATGGGTTTCTAGGGTGTTCAAGGTTGTTACCAGGGTGTTGCTAAGGGGTTGGCAGGGTGTTCTGGGTGATTGTTTGATTGTTGCTAGGTGTTTTCTATGGGGTTATGGGTGGTTGCCAGGAAATTGCCATGTGGTTGCTGTTGTGTTTGATGGAATGTTCTGATTAGTTGCTGGGTTACTGCTAGGTGGTTACTAGGATGTTCCACTGTAGGTGGTTGCCAGTGTATTGCTAAGTGGCTGCTAGGGTGTTCAACGTTGGTTAGCAGAGGATTGCTAGGTGGTTGCCATGGTATTCTGGGTTGCTGCTGGGTGTATGCTAGGGTATTCTGGTTGGAAGCGGGTTGTTGTTGGGTGGTTACTAGGGTGTTTTAGGTGGTTGCCAATGTGTTGGTAAGTAGTTGCTTGGGTGGTCTGGGTTGTTGCCACGTCATTTCTAGGTTGTCACTAGGGTGTTCAAGGTTGGTTACCAGAGCATTGCTAGGTGGTTACCAGGATGTTCTGTGTGGTTTCCAGGGTATTGCTGGAGGTTTGCTAGGGTTGTATGGATAGTTTCTAGACTAGAGCATTGCTTGGTGGTTTGCTAATGTCAAGTCAAGTCACCTTTATTTATATAGCCCTTTTTACAATACAGATTGTTTCAAAGCAGCTTTACATAGAAAACAGGAAAATAATGCAACACAGTTTGTTTCCAGTGGAAAATAGCGTCACAGTGCAGCTTAAGTAAGTTCAGTGATGATTCATTTTGTTGTAAAAAAAAAAAAAAAAAAAAGTTATTAATTTAGTTAATTTATATATATATAGGCCTATAGCCACTCTGGAGAAAATCGTGATGTCATCGTCCAGCTCAGTTCAGTTTTCATATAATGGTGTCAATGCAGCAGATCAATAATATTGTTGAATATTAAATTAAATGTCCCCAACTAAGCAAGCCAAAAGCCAATGGCGACAAAGGCGACAGTGGCAAGGAACCAAACCTCCGTCAGGTGACAGAATGGAGAAAAAAACCTTGTGAGAAACCAGACTCAGTCGGGGCCAGTTCTCCTCTGGCCAACGAACAAACGAACAGTGTATGATTATGATTCAGGCAGAATTACAGGTCAGAAGTCAGATTGGATTGGAACAATCAGAATATTATCCAGTTCATCTGGTTGAAGATTGGAGTCATCACGCCGGTATGGAGACGGGTTTGTTGAGGATCAGTGCCGATGTCTGTCGTGTCGATGAGGCCTTCACAGGAGAGAGTAATTGACACAACCTCTGCTGACACTTCAGGGATGCGTTGTGGTCGTGTCTAGGCACAGGTCCACCATCTGATCTGGATACGGCCTGGGTCCGGCTGATTACAGTTAACCTCTGAATAAACAGAAGACTAAGATTAGCGTTAATGCCATTCATTTTATGATGTAACGTGTACATCAGGTGTTATAGGAAGTGTTCCAGGTTCCCGGTTGCATAGATTATTATCTATGCAGCCTAATAATAATGCCGGGGACACACTTAACTACTCACTGAAACATTCTAATACTGAACTGAACACACTTGTTCCCAACGACTGGAGTAGATTTTAAGCACAGCTTGAATGCAACTGTCTCTGACTCAAAATTAAATCAAATTACAGTCGTTAAGTGTGTCCCCGGCATAAGGTGTTTTGTAGGGTCTTACTAGGGTGTGGTTGCTAGGCGACTACTTACTGGTCCAAGTCATAAAAATAAATTCTTGTTTACACCCCAGAGCTTTTGCATAAATTACTTTAAATACAAATATAATTTGAAATGAAACAATACAATAAATATTTGATCATGACTATTATATTGTAGTT